CATATTAATATGGCTTTATTTTTTATACCTCGTTTTTATACTTTTCTGCTGGATGGTTAAGACCAAGATAAAGCAAGACTTATAAAACAAGAAATGTAGCTTTTGTATCTGACAAGGTCAGTCAAGTCCCCTCAGGATTTATCCTATAACCCTGTACTGCAGTTTGCAGATCTTTTGTCAATGTCAGCCATGTGCATGAGTCATGGCTATTGCTTGACCATTAGCAAATGTAGTTTAAAAACAGGTCAATCTGATTTCTAATCACAACATCTGGTGGATGGAGAAAATTGGCATTGTATGCAATGGTCATGTCCCAGGCATCAATGAGACCCACATTGAGATCTTTGAAAATGTCCTTCATGATGAGATATTGAATGTACCCATGGAAGTCATCAAACCACTCTGTTGCTAGGGGCATTTCTCTGACATTTTCTGTCTTAAGGATCACTTTAGTTGCTGGGCTTCTTCGAAACAGCCGTTCAATGGCCTTTCGGATATTGAGAGCCCTACGGATAAAAACATCCATGGGGAAGGGTCTGAAGTGATGGCCAAATGTAATAACAATGACTGTGTTTTGGTCCCCTAGTACCCGGTCGATCTCCAGAGGGATATAACCATCGTCTATCACTGAATATAGATGAATTGTGGTGAAAGGGTAGCTATGTTTTTTCCATTGAATGTGAATGTGTCTTTCGGTGTCCAGAAGCCAACGTTTCGGAAAACTTCCAGTTCCATGAAGATTAAAAGATTTCAATGCTGATAAAAGGAAAAACAGGCCTTTAATTCCAATGCAATGATTAATATTTTCAGAAAAAAATATTTTATTGACACCTCCCACTTACAGTATTTTTGTCATCTATAACTCCAAGGTGATGATTAGTATTTTTAAGGACTCTCCTATCATTTATGGTACCCACCTGGAATATTTCCTCAGGGGCATCCTGCTTTCTAGGGTAGGTTACCCAATCATGTATGTATATATCAGTCACAGTGCAAAGTTTTCTAGCTTGATGGTCTACGCGCCTGCCTGGCAAGCATGAAGACCTGGCTGTGGTACCTAGTACCACATGCCGTGCTGGCCACCAATACCAGGTGTGGTGGCACACACCTCTAATCCCAGCCCTGGGAACCTGAGACAGGAAGATCACTGAATCTGAGCTGCTTAGCGAGATCCTGTACCAAAGAAATACAAGATTAAAAAAAATTTTTTTTTAAAGTGCAAAGTTTTCATTGGAATATTTTTAAAATCATAACTTTTTATCATGACATAAATATAAGTTTGGTATTTTAACCATTTTAATCATGTCATTGAGTGGTATGTTCACAATGTGTATAGTTGTCGGCATTATTTCCAAAACTTTTCATCACCCTTAACTAAAAATCTGTATGTGTTAAGCAGTAATTTCTCATTTTCCCATCTTTCCTAGCCCCTGCTAACCTACTGTACATTTTGTCTATATGTATGTACCCATTCTGTATATATCCTGGAATCCTGTATATTCTTGTGTGTCTGGATTATTGTATATTTGTAAGCTTTTTCATTTTTGTAACATGTATCAGAACTTTGTTCCTGTTTTTAATCTATTTTGTGGGGCTCAGGTTCCATTTCAAGGTCTCATGCATGATAATCGAGTGCTCCAGCGCTGAAGTCACATCCCTAGTCCCAGGGATTTTGGGATGAATAATATTGTCATGTGCTGTGCCACATTTTGATTATTCATTCATTTGCTGATGTCCACACACATTGTTTTCATCTTCAGTTATTCTAGTCTCTCACTTAGAGGTATCTAGTTGAGTCTCTATTTGGATTTTTATTTTTTAGGTATATAATAACTGAAATTGTTGTATCATGTGGTACTTCTATGTTTAACTTCTTGAGGGACATCTAAACTGTGGTCAACAGCAGTTTCAGCATTTCATATTCCCAGCAGCAATGTCTGAGGGCTCTAATTTGTACACATTCTCATCAATATTTATTTTCTGCTTTGTTATAGATTTGCCAGTAGGTATGAAGTGGTTCTCATGTAATTTTTTTTTGTATTTTAGGGAAGGGTCCACAGAGTGTTTAGGGTTTCACTACTAGACCGGACTTATAACGATCTGTCTGTTTATAGCCTCCCAAGAGCTGGGATTACAGGCGTGTGCCACCATGCCCATTCTCAATCACGTGTGCCCTAGGGTGGGGATTGAACCCCTGGTCCTTACCCCTGCTTGCAGGCACTTTAATCCACTGAGCTATCTGGCTGGCTCTTATTTTGGCTTATGTATTAGTTCTTGTAGTAGTGAAGATTGAACCCAGGGTCTCTGCCTTTCTCAATTTCTGCTGTGAGATGGGTTTCACTAAGAAACTATGTCTTTTTTGAGACAAGATTTCACTGTATAGCCAGGGTGGCCTCAAACTCCTGCCTCAGTGATCCTACTGCCTCTGTGATCTTTCTGCCTCAGTGATCCTCCTGCCCCAGCCTCCTAAGTGCTAGTATTGCAGATGTGTCCACCACATCTAGCCAAGATGGGAGTTTTTAATCATTTATTTATTTATTTGGTGCTGGGTCTCACCACACAGTTTGGACTCATAGTAATCCTCCTGTCTCAGCCTCCTCAGTGCTGAGATTACAGTCATGCACACCACCATGCCCGCTTTTGGGCCAGCATACACGCAGTACCAGGGATCAAACTCTGGACTGTGGGCTTGTCAGCCAGGTGTTTAGACTGCTGAGCTATCTCTCCCCAGCCTTTGGAGTATCTTTTTTTGTGCTTGTTGAACTTTTATATGTTTTTGGAGAAATATCTATTCATTGAAATTTATAAGGAGCAACAGCATTTTTTATGAAAGAGGGATTAAAACATATTTCAAGTGAAATGATTCAAAACCAGAAAGCTAAATGAAGTGAAAAGCAAAACAGCCCAAATGATGGAATAGAGACCTCATTAAAAGTACTTTAAAATCATCCTGGATTTTTTAAAGCAAGATAAAATAGTTACATACTTTTTAGAACTTTGGGTAAGTACTCGATCCACTGCCGCAGCGTGGAGTCTCCCAGGAGATAAATGAGCTTTCCTTTCAGACAGCTATTCATCATCGCTGTGTTGAACTGAATCTGGCTGCAAAATGTTGGGATCCACCTTTCTTGTAAAGTGTAACCGCTGGGGAAGGGCACCTGCATTCCGGTTCGACATTTCTCCTTTACTTTTTCATTTTCTGGTGACAGAGATATTTGTGAGGAATGGTTTCAGTGGCCTCAGATCAACAACACACAGGCTTCTTTTTCCTTCCCTCTGGATCTCTCTCCTCTTTCTGTCCCATGTCTTCATCCCTTTGTAGTGTGTTATTTTGATCACCAGCTTTCAGTCATCTTGGCTCCTTCTACTGAGACATTTTGAGTCCCTTGGTACTTTTCATTTTCTCCCAAATCTGGTCACTGGCTAAGTCAGTCTCAATGTTCTAGTTTTTCATTGTCATCCTAGTGATTCTTTTATATAATATAAACATTAGTGGTCTGCCAGTCGATGTTGTCATTATTCAGTTATTTAATTCCACCAATAAAATAATAACATTAATTTTTATATTAAAAATGTAATCCAATGTATGTACCTTTCAAAAGCTTCAAACAGAACCAGGTGTGGGGGCCCAAACCTGAAAGCTAAGAACTTTAAGACTGAACTAGAAGGAGTGAAAGTTTGAGCCTAACTGGAGCAAATTATCAATTTAGTAAAATCTTCTCTCAAAGTAAAAAATAAAAAAAAGTAGATATATCTCAGGGCAAAGAACTGTGGGTTCAATTCCCAGTACTAAAAAACAATGCATATGTTACAGATTTTCAAAACAGGAATAGCTAATTAGCAATGATGGTTATATTTATTTTTATCATCAAATCTGTTGCTTGGATTAACAGATATAGTTATGCAAGATTGGGGAAATAATGCATTGTATATTACCCTGTTTCTGTCTTTTTTTCTATTTGTTTTTGCTTCTGTTTTTACTCTTCAAAATAAAATAAAATTTAAAAAATACAATTTAATATTGATGCCAAAAACAACAACATAACAACAACAACAACAACAAACAAGGACAGGGAGATACTTTGGCAGTCTAAGCACCTGCTAGGCAAGCACAGTGACCTTAGTTCAATTCCCTAGTACAGCATTCCATGCTGGCCCAAGAATCCTGGGTGTACCGAGCTGGCCACCAAAACCGGGCATGGTTGTATGCACCTGTAATTCCAGTGCTGGGGAAGCTGAGATAGGAGGATCACTATGAGTCTGAGCTGTGTAGTGAGACCCTGTACCAAATACATAAATAAATAAAGACTAAAAAAACCCCAAACATCAACAACAAAAAACACCTAAGGTGGTTGATAGGAAATAAGAGATCAGAACAAAGCGGCCAGTGCAGGACAAATACGCCTTTAAATGAATAAGTTGCAGATGCACACCAGGCATGTTAGACTTACTGTTACAGGGTAAGACTTGGATGGAAGGAAAGTTCTTCATCATTTCAAGCCCTACGTTGGACCTTCAAAAAACAAAAAGAAGTCAGTCTAAAGTTTTTGAGGTGTCAGAGGAAGAATGCTGCACTGGTTTAGATTGGTTAAACCACTCTTAACTCTGAAAAAAAATGTTTCATTATTTTGATCCATTTTTTTCTTTTAAAGGTTTTGAATAACTTGTGTTTTGGGAGACCAAGGAATGTGGCTACAAGGAATGTCAACTTTAGAAGCTGGAAAAGGCTAATGAATGGATATTTTCCTAGAACCTCTAAAAAGGAACATAGTTCTGCTATCTTCAGCTGTAGCTCAGTGAGGTTGACATCCACTTCCTGAGTGACAAAATATGGTTGCACATATTTCTTGTTTTAAGCTGCTTTTTTACAGAAGCAATAAGAAACTAATCTAGATAAAACCCACATCTTTTAAATATTAGGACATCCCAATTTGAAACAGCATGTTTTCTTCTATTTGTAAAAATGTAATCTCATATCCTTTACTAATATTTCAAATGTTCTTTCTATAGGTCATGCTCAGTTTGATTATTTGCTTTTTAAAAAAATTTAATGAGAAAAATAGCAATGAGACAGTTTTAAAACCAATTAGTAGGACAGTTTCAATAATAAATACATTGCATATTGTTGTTTTGGTAGTGGTTATTCATAGTACAAGATACAGACATGATATCCTGTCCAAACACTATTAGTACAAATCTTTCTTCTAACTGAATTAAGGGAAAGTAGCTGTATATCTGTCCTAACTGTTTTGTATATACAGATATAGAATGGTCCTTCATTTGTATCCACTTTTTTTGTTTAGTTTTGTCAGAGATGAGTATTCCATTGTCATTTAAATATTGTAGGTGCGTGAATTCAGCCAAATAGTCCAATATAGTCCAGTAGTCCATAATAGTAGTGGGTTATCTATAGGACTGGCAATGTCAGAAGTTGTTGACTTGAGCCTTTTACAGCTCAGCATATTAATTTAGCTTTACTTTTTATACCTCATTTTTATACTTTTCTGCTGGAAGGTTAAGACTAAGATAAAGCAAGACCTATATAACAAAAAATGTAACTTTTGTATCTGCCAAGGTCAGTCAAATCCCCTCAGGATTTACCCTGAAACCCTGTACCACAGTTTGTAGATCCTTTGTGAGTGTCAGCCATGTGGATGAATCATGACCATTTAATTTGCTCTGTGAAAGCCTGAGAGAATGTTTTCTCCCCATGTGAATCTCCTTAGGTACACTCTACATCGTCGATCACTTTCCTCTGTGGCCCCATAATCTCCTTGGTTAGAAAATTTGGGACACAACTGAGTTACAGGATGTTATAGTACAGGTTCTTCTATGTCCTGAGTCCTCGTTGACCTTGAAAGGCTAGGGCCAAAATGTTGTCTGTCCTTGTAGCCCTTCTTTTTCTCTAATTTTTGTTCTGCAAACTTAGGTTGTTAACCCTCTAGAAGAGAAGCTTAATGATATTACCCTATAACATAGGCAGTTGAGCTTAACCTCCCTGTATGAATATCAAACATCTTAGGCATAACATGGAACAGGTGTTTTCCATTAAGTATTGAAATGTTAAACTTTAAATCCCTATAGAATATGAAGAAAAAAAAATTAAAATAGGAATAAACAATTATATATTTTTACACAGAAATTTAGAAATTTAACCATATACAGCATTGTAGCAGGACAATCCTA